GTGTGTGTGTGTGTGTGTGTGTGTGTGTGTGTGTGTGTGTGTGTGTGTGTGTGTGTATATATTCGTCTACAGTAGCACATGCAAAGGATTTGTATGTGTATCTACACTTCCTTGCAGAGTCTGTGTAATCAATTTGATGAGAAAACCATGCACTGGAAAATCAAGTTGCAGGTTGCATCTATACTAATGAGGTTTATGTGATGTCACTGTAATTGGAAATACATACTGCACACAGCTGATGAAATTATTTGGACCTGGCTAATGTTTCAGATAGCCAATCGTAGCAGCTACGAATTCCCCCACCACTCACTCCCAACTGAAGTGCTGATCTAAACACAAAAAACGCGTATGATTGTGTTGGACAAATTTGTAATTTTAGCCTTGATTGTATGCAAGCCACTCTGGGCAGTGGTGTGAAGTGAGAAGGCTAAAGGAGTTCATCCATTCTTCAAAGCTTTACTGTTCTGTTCCCTGTACGATTGAGCTGAAAGGCTGACCAGAGGAGAGAAAAAATAAGAAAGGTTTTACATCTTGCATCTAATTTTAAATTTTATTGTAAGCTTGCACAATTATGACATGCGGAGAAAGCCGGTTTGTCTTTACTGTGATTAATGCATTATGTAATTCTTTAAAACCAATAAAAGAAGCGGAAGTTTTCTTTCTTCCCCCTCCCCCCTTATTTTTAACATTTTAAAATTTAAAATTTTTTGCTTCCCTGTTCTTCTCTGGCTCCATGAGAACGGGAGTGTCTCACACACACGCTGTACATGCACAATAGTGTATCGGTATTCTCTGGTTCCTTGGACAGTTGTAGGTATATCTGGCTGACGGTTCACACAATAGAAATGAAGGTAAGTAAATTTATGCATGGAATATAATTGTTAGTGGGGGCAGTGGAGCAGCATCATCCAATCTAACAGCCACAAATAGCAACCTCTCAGCAAACATTTCATTACTGCTGACAAGTGTTTCGGTGGATTGTAATTGGAGATATCCCCTCATCTAAAAGCCCTCCTTACTTCACCGATTGCCTCCTCTAGTACACTTTTTTTTTTCTCCCTCTTTCCCATCATAAACTTCTTCGTGGGGTGCTTTGTGTCCCCTGATGATATCTTGCAAATGTTAATTTAAATTCAAATTTTAGTGTGTGAAGTTAATTAGTTGCATAAGCCAGTGGCTAGATAGGCCAGATTTAGCGATGGGATCTTACGACTATGTGGCACTTGGCTGATTTGAGATACAAGGAGGCTTTGTTTTGTATTAAAATTCTGTGTTTTTATTGGCTCATGCTTCTGGGGGTTAACGACACCAAGATATGCGGGTCCAACAAACATGAGGTGTGATATCCCTTCCAGTTTAAGCACTGTATCAGATCAGTGGTGATCATTTCTACAGGTGATTGCAGATATATGTTGAACAAGAGGGTTTTCTTTATTTTTTACGTTTAGACTGATATCATTTTGTTTCTTGAAGGCATAGATTGGGTTGAAATTCCATGCAGGGGGATGGGGGGGAATGCTTTCACTCACTGATACTTCCCTGATGTAGGGGGACAGTGATGAAGGGCCTTCCACCATCAGACAGTGGTCTCAGGAAATCGCACAAATTCCAGTGCAGGTTAAACATGCACATGTGTGTGAAAAGTTGAAAACCAAGATGAAGCATGATAAAAGATGTTGATGAAAAGCGTGAGAACATAAGGTCTAAACACAAATGTGGGTTTTACAGGGAACAGCCCAGTGTTGGCCGAAGAGCGAAATCAGCTGCTCAATTTGCAACTTACAGATGCCTAAAGGGGGTGGTGACAATAAAATATACAACAAGAAGAATGAAGCTGTACCTTTACAAAAACACAGTACCTGGAACTTTGCTGATTTGACTTTTATTCCAGTAAAGCATTGCTTAAAGCACGGATCCAGGCTGTGTTTATTTACATCAACTCCCGAGACCGTTGGCATCAAAGTGCACGAGGACCAGTAAACAGCAGCACTGTTATCCTGGCTGGTTACATGATACTGACAGTGCAAATCCACGTTTTACCCAAAGTGTCCTGCAGATGGCAGGCGCACCATTCACGACGACGGTCTGCAGATCTGATCTGAGAGCGGCTCAGACAAAGAACACCACGGGGCACGACGGCCTGACATTTAAAACCAGTGGGAACTGCTGTCTGGAACTGGATCTGTTTTGTTTATTATGTATCCTTTCCATATTTAAAATTATTATTATTATTTTCTAATAATTGACGGATGGCTCAACCTATATTATTAATATTAGTAGTAGTGATAGTAGTATTCCTTTTATAAATACTACTGTTGCTGTTGTCGAATTACAAGGTACACACTAAATATAACGCAAAAAAGAAAAAAACAAAACAAAAAAAGCCAATTTTCTTCATTACTTAGCTCACGGAAAAGGTTACGCGTGATTCCTCGTGGCATTATCCAGATTTGGAAAGTACCTTTAAAGACACGCGCGCCCTCTTTTCACCCCTCACGTGCATACACGCGCGTACATACATATCTGCTTGAGCTTACCTGCTGGTAGTGGCGGGAAATCTTCGCTAATGACTAAACAAACAGAACAAGGCAGAAACACGTCAATTAAATTACGCTTGTGTGTGTGGGGGGGGCCCTAAATGAACAAAATGTCAAATACACATATCAAAACTTAAATGAAATAGCCGCAAGGATGCGGGCAGAAGAGAAGATTAAAACTCAAAGGGATACCGAGTCTCCAGCGCCCTGAGGTGGTGAAACTGAAGGAGATACAAATAGCAAAAGTGAACACCATTCTCTTTAATAATTTCAGCCTCAACTACAGAGACAAAGGCGCTGAAAAGGAGATTTGTGTCTAATAGCTCTGGTCCATTATGAGGTTGCTGTAGTCAGTATTAAACTGTGCGTATACACCAAAATGCAAAGACCGGCAATAATGTTAGATTTAGCATCATTTCAAGAGATTTGTGGGCTGTTGTATTTTGCACTTATTGTACCATTGTTTTCCCAATCCGTCTTATAACAGGGATA